AGGTTCTGAGTTAATAGAAAATATGTCTAAGCTTTCATATTTTGTAGTATCTTTTTTCCTCAAGGGTTACTCAGCCTAACATGAAACTCTCAGATCATCAAAGTTTTTATTCAATCCAGCATTAGTTTTAATTACTATTGCTTTTTAAAAGTGCGCTTAAAAAAAAATCCTTAATTTTATAAATAAAGGAAAAATGTGTGCACGATTTTTTTCTTTTTTTATATATTTCAATACTGTTAATATTTAGCTGCAAAGATTTATTTTTCCACATAAAAATATTTTTAATCACTTGAAATTCATCTATATGAAACAAAAAGCATGCTTTAGACCTTAAATGGAGATTAATTTGAAGTTAGTGGCCAGTTTAAAGTTGACACTAAAGTGAGAATAAGTATTGCATAGGGGACTGGACTGCTTTTATTATACAATCTGTTTCAGCTTCTGTAAGCTTATATGTGCTTAGACTATTTCTACAGAAACCCATATTGCAAAGTTGTCAATATTAGAGGAGCTTGGCACTGCAGATTGACTGCCCTCCATTCTGTTAGGAGTGATAGCCTGATTTGGTTCGGCCTGTAGGGTCTCTTGTCACAGGGTGAAAAAGGAAGGTGGAATAAAATACTCTTACAATTAGACAGTTCACTGAGGTTTTCCAAGACTTTCTTAGTCATCTTCTCTCGGAAGACATATTATAGTCATATCCTATCAGGTTCCCCCTCTGCCTCCAAATTGCCTTTACAGAATAGGGAGACTAATGGATTCTGCTGCTTGTGTTGCAAGCCTATGCTCAAGTTAGTCCTGCAAGCACGTTGGAAGAAGCAAGCATCATAGTTTGGATGAGCAGACTTTAAAAAACATTCCAACAGAAGAAAGCTTCACTCTCTTCACTTTTTTGCCACTTTGTTTTGCCACAAAACTTCAGGCTGGTTGAGAGACTCAGTTCCAGTATGAGTTTGATAAATTTGAACATGCACGACACAGTGATGGTAATCGTCTGGCACGGGTTAGTCACCCGTAATAAAGCCGTGAGAAATAAAGAAATGCAGGCAAATAAAACTACAGTGATCTACTGAACAGAAGGGCTTGGAACACAAAAGGGGAAAGAATTGCTGTTGTAATGACAATACTTTTAATTATATATATTCAATGAAAAATAAACTATTAGAGAGAGAGTAAAATACTTCCAATTAATGGAAGTAATGTAATGTTCAAACTTAAATGAAGTATTTTTCTCTTGAGGGTTTTGTTGTACTATTTTATTTAGCTTAATGTAATTTAAATTATAAACAGAATGGTTTTGCAAGCCCCTAGAGAAATGTACTTTATTTATAATGTATTTCCTTTGAAGTGGTTATGGAAATCATGCTCTTCATGAAGTCTGTATCTCACATACCACCTACAGCTGCAAACTAGTCAGTCCTCACAAGTTAAACATGATCTGTCTGGTGAAGTGCGTGACAAGAAAACCCAAGATTTTTTAAAATGCCAGAGGAAATAGAAATTTGTTGTTCTGCAAACTAATGGTCTTTCCTCTGAAAGAAGTTATTGAAAGATATTTGTTGATAAAAGTTATGTTTTTTCAGAGGGAATGGAACTCAGCCACTTCACTCAACTCACTTCACTTGAGTTTTTAATGCACATAATGAAAGAATAATTGTTCACACTATACCCTAGAGGGAGTTTCAGCTGGGAGTAATTATATTTTGTATACTCAAATTTAAATGCATAAATATTTCCATCTTTCATTTAAATAATAAATCCTTAAAAATTTAATTCTAGTATAAAAAGTACACTTTCTTTCATGATGCAAATTACAAATGCCTAGTTTGTGTCACTTTTCTCCTCCAAGCAATCAAAATTGCCACAACTGCGAAAGAATAAATGGAATGCTCTCCTCACCTTCAATAGCCACTGCATAGAGTTGGTTAAATAACTAGATACAAAGAGGAAACTACCTCTAGAAAATGAAATTTGGCCATTAATCATCTTTTTAAAGCATAACAGTACCTAATCCTCCTGGATGAACCATGAGCTCAACACTCCAGCCACAGATACACAATAGTCTAAGCTGTGATGCTTCTCCTGAGATAATGTCACTGCAAGTCACTTCAAAGGGACCAGGCAAGTAAGCAGCGTAAGATTTGGTTGACTGTGCAACTGCTTACAGCGTGAACTCATGACAGCCGTAGTCACAGATTACAAGTGCTTTGAATTGTTTCTTTCTTTTATCAAAGCTACTCTTCTGCTCTAACCTACTACCAAAGACTATAAATAAATAAATAAATAGATAAATAAATTAAAATACTAGTTCTCGCTAGCTTTAGATTAAGAGCTTGAATCTGTTTTCAAGGGATAATATTTCTGTGTAACTATAAAATAAAGATCATGCTCTGGAGTTAAATTTCTGATGGAGTTGGTAGATTTTATCAATATCAGAAAGTTTCAGGTAGATATTTAAATCCATTAAAATACTTATAATCAAATTTATGACTACATGAAACAAATATTAATTAATTCTAACACATTGGGCTTGTTTTTAAATAATCTTATGAATATACTACAGAGACAAGCTGTACACCTTTACAAACATCTATACTTTGCTAAAAGCTACTAAAGCACAAACATTACTTGCATTAAATGAAAAAAGTATGTCATAGTGACCATTATCCTTGTATTTGAGGCAAGACTTTAAGACTCTGACAACCCAGTCTATCTAATGTACCTTTGCTAAGAAAGACAATGCTGTTTTTCTTCATTAATGTAACATGTCAGATGAACCGACAAATTCTGTTTAACGCACTGCACATTTGTGGGTAATAAAGAACATTATTCTATTATTTCTTTTATAGCTATAATCCCTTAAGAGGTAGCATGACAGTGTGGTGTAAATCTAAAGGAAACCATTATATTTGTTTGCATGAATGGCTTTGATGACATTAATTTATTATTAGGAAAAAAATCCAAACAACAGATATTAATCTATGGTTTTTCTGAAAATGGATTATATAAGTTGGTGCTTTAACTCTTTATTTTTTGCTCACAGTTTCCTCACTGTTACATCAATGTTCAAGTGACAAATAATAAATGTTTATACAGGAAGAGAAATGTGGACTGTAACAAAATTTGCAGAAGTTAATTATATGAATTGAGGTATTTTCTTTGTTACTTTCCTTTCAGACTAAAACTGAACACAGTTCAATTCCAGCTCCTTTGAGGTACTCTGATTTTTTCTGCAGAAGAATAGTTGTGCTGCTAATATCTACTAAGGCATTCTTCTTAGACGTGATACCCTCTCCAGCATAATATATGTCTTTTGGGACTGCTTTCCTCCCCATCAGTAACAATTGGGAAAGATTTTGGATACTTACAATAGAGAATATGAATCTGTTCTCCAGTCTGGAGACAGCAACCCACTTATGAATTATGACAATTTAAATTTAATTTTAACTACCAAACCAGAAAAATTATGTGTGTTTAGTATTTTATTCATAGAAATGTTGCCATCTAAAGAAAAAAAATGGCCCAAATCCACAACCGTTCACCTTATACAGAATACTTGAAAAAACATCTAAAGCTGGAATATGGTCAGCACAACATGAAAGGCAAAATCAAATGTAACTGAATACGGCCAACAGAGTAACAGTGTGCAAATATACCATGTTATAATTTTGAGATACAAAAACAGAAGTAAGCATTGTTTCAGGATTCATCTGAGCCACTTGTTAAATTGAAGCCATATGATTCAGCCAGTATGCTCTTAAAAGGCTTTCCTGAGATGACTTGGTTAGAAGCTTTCTCCAGACACAACTGAGTGACTGAAATCTCAAGAAACTCCAGAAACAATCGCAATAAACTGTCAGTGTTAAGGTCCCTAAAACAAGCATACAAGGAGAGTTGTTTTCCATGTAAAAAGAGTGTGCCAGCATGTGTAAATACAGGCCGTCTAAACTACTGCTACAAATCCAAATTTACAGTTCATTTCCACAAAATTAGAAATGCAAACCAAGGCGGAACTTTGAATGTGTAAGGAATGTAAAAGAAATATGATCTATAATATAGACACAAATGCTGCAGCTTACCAATTCCTGTAAATTATTTTAAATGCCACTGCAATTGAGACATAAAACAGCATAGCATATAAGGAAGAAAGCAGTCAAGAAATAATGAATGCTGGCAATTTAATCAGAACAATTTAGTTCTTTGCCTGGGTCTTCTAGCTCAAAGGGATGAGACTTGTTGAAAGTAAATGCAGGTAGAATATCAAAACAAAAAGGAAAACAACACTTTTCGAGAAACTGAATTTTAATTGTTGGATTCCCACCTCTTCTATAGCAAGACTGAATTATTCTGCAGGGAAATCCTGAAGGTGAAATATTGGCTACATTTTTTATTTTGTCTGAAACTCATGGAAAACTTGAAGGTTTGTGCAGAAGCTCAATATAATCAACAGAAATAATCTAAAGGCATCATTCTCCTGACTACCAGTACCATGGTACTCCTCTACTCTTCTTAAGACAAATAGAGATTCATGCATGTAAACCTGTTCAGCCTAGCTCTTATCTCGGTAGCTCTTATTCTGCTACCTGTGTGGCTGTAATAACAAGAAACTCAAGCTTTAACAGCTGCTTAGGAATTTATCCATTTCTCTCCTGGGTTTTGTGCCTAAGTTGAAATTTTCACCACTGCAGCTGCTGCTAAAGTTAGCTCAGATATGACTACAGGAATGATAGGGATCACAGTGTTGCCAGCACCCACAACTACTTAAAAAAGATGTAGCAAGAAAACCAAACACATTGTGACATATGACAGTCTACTTTTGAGCACCTATTGACAACAAAACACATCATAAGTTGCAGGGACTTAATAAGTTATACTATAGTTTATAAATTCCAAAAGACCCTGACTCCACAAAATGAGCACTGTTGCCAAAAATCAGCTGTTTCCCAACATGTTGAATACTCTCAAAGATATAGTGTAAAGGGTTTTTTGAATTTTACCTACATGGTCCAGTGAGGATCATCAGAACGGCTAGTTGGATCAGACACTGTGTAATTCTGTGAACTCCTCTTTTGGAAACAAAACTGATACTGCGTCAGCATGTAGGCTGTGAACAAAACAAAAGACAGAACAATTATTAAAACAGATTACAGAAAAATGGGGGAGGCATAGACACATGAGCCAAAAGGCCTCCTTTGGAGCAAGAGATGACAAATGCTATTAATATTTTCTATTGACGAATAATTTTTTTTTGTTTTTCTTTTTTTTTAAATATGAGAGACCTAGTTGAAAATAGAACAACTCAAGCATGCATTTATGACACAGAGATCTGAAGCAGTGGTAATAAGATGGTACTGATAAGCCTTTGGGATGCTTACACTTACCTCCAAAGAGCTATCTTCAGTCACAGTATTTTAAGATGATTTTTTCAAACCCAGTAACCAAACTGGAGTGAAGATAACAGTTTCTCCAAGACAGCGTGAATAATCATAGAATCAACGAATACCAGGTTGGACCTTTCTCGGCAAAAACACAGTCTTGACAAGATGGCCCAGCAAATTGTCCAGCTAAATCTTAAAAGTTTCCAGTGTTTGGTGATCCACCACTTTCCTGGGGAGATTATTACTATAAGTCTCCAGCTGAGTCAGCAAAGCAAATTTTCTGGCTAGTGTCAGAAATTGGCACCTCTAGGTACAGAGGGAGATGAGATGCTGAGCTCATTCAGATCAAGGGGCAGCTTGACACAAGGGCAGAATTAAGAACTGGGGTCTCTTTTTCTTCCCCAAATTATTCAGTCTTTCAAGCTAACCAATTTATAAAACTGGTTTGAAATACTGTATTTCATGTAAAAACGTAGAAAAATAAAACTCCTAGTATACAACACATATTATATTTTCAGCTGCATTAAATACACTGATGCTTTTAAAAGTTGTCAGAGGAAGCAAAATATTAATAATTAAAATGTAATCAACACACTTTCCTCTGCAGAAGTTGTAAATTTCTGAAGTCAGAAGTCTAAGAGAAGGATTAACTACTGACCTCTATGAGCAGATCATCTTTGGAAGAAATAGAGAGGACACAGGGCTTAGCACTCGTTCAAGGAAACTTTTGCTGCCAGGGAAAAGCTTTAATGTGGTAAGGAATTTGCAGGATGCTGTGTATGTTCTCTTTACCTGTCTGCTGAGAGGGAACTCCCTTGCTACAAGTGATAAAATTCTCACAGAGGTATCTGGAGGCTCCCACTTGGGGGGCCAGGCAGGCCATAAAGCACATGTATCATTCAGATACATACTGCAACGTTCTTGACTGTTAAAATAAATTTTCTTTAAAACTTTAGCCACAACCCGGTGCCTGGGGTTACCTGCTTGCATATCAAGCCTTACACCACCATATTTCATTTCATTATAAACCATATATGTATATCATATATATGTAATTATTTACAATATTATATTCTATGTATACTAAATTAAAATTTATATTTATTTTATAAATACATGAAATATATAATTATATTTTATAAAAATATAATTATATGGGCTATTATATATAATAATATATATAATTAGTAGAACCATGTGGCATTATTATCTCACTTATTACATGTCATTGAAGCCTAAGGCTTCAAGACCCCTTTGCACAACACGGAAGAGTGAATCTGAATCAATATGTTCCACGTTTGCTCACTGTCTTAGCCTTTACCAGAATGCCAAGGGATTTTACTCCCAGGTGTTATAAAGAGGATGCAACAGACCAGAGAAGACACTGGCTATGCTAGATGTTCAGTTTCTCAGGAGAAAAAGAAAACAAAGAAAAAACCAACAACAACTCCACAACAACAACAGCAAGGCTCAGATTATTAACATACAATGCTAAGACTATATTCCAGTTAACTTTCAGAATAGAAGAAAATACACATTTACTATCCATGTACATTGCGGCACACTAACGCAGCACTTCTAACACAGCTCTGATATACTATCAACCACAAAGGTCTCTCCCTTCTCTGGTAAAACACTCTCCTGGAAGATAGCCATTCCCTCCACTATCCATGCACAGTCAGGAAGTGCAGTGCATTAGAGTGAAAGTGAATCTGAACATCCCAAAACAAATGAACAGGAGAGGCTAGATTTTAATCAATGAAAGGAAAGGAAGCAAATCAGATTAAATATGGCCAGAATATATATTTTTTGTCTTGCAAACAATGTCAAGCAATTCTTAATTAGAAAGAACCTGGACGTGTCAGTGTGGCAAACCCTTCCATAGGAACAGCCTTTGATACTCTCTCAGCCCAGACCTATGTGTCTCGGTTTGAGCCGCCCCCCACTCCACCCACCCGGGGGGGCTGGAATCGGTTGGTCCCAGGTGAGTTTCCGACGAGGGACCAATCAGAGCTGTTTTTCGCCCCTGTGAAATTAGGATATTACAACAGCCAGAAGGAAGTTGTTGGCAGTGTGTGAGAGCGATTTGGAGCCATGAGGTGAGAGGAGGGAGGTCTGCGGGCCCCTTGTGGGGGGGCCAGGCCCTCTTCCCCCCCCAGCCGGGCTGCGGGGGAGCTCAGGACAGTATTATAACTGGACTGAGTGCCCGTGGCCAAAAGGCTAGGGGGCTTTTTCCCCCCCACTGCCCAGGAAAGGCAGTGGTGTGGACTTGAGAAGCCAGCCAGGGAGTTGGAGCTAGCTAGCCCCGGCAGGCAGGCAAGGCATTGGAGCCGAACCAGAGACGGACCGAGGGGTGATCCGGAGCCTGGAGAAGCAGTTGCAATCGTGCAGAGCTGGAAGAACTCCAGGTAGAGAACAGAGACTGAAGCAGTCTCAGTGCTACCCTCTCCCCCCCATAATGGTGGGGGAGAGGTAGCGACCTTGAGCTGAGACTGAAGCAAAATGGGAGACGGGCTGAGAGGCTTGGAGGAGGCCCTACATGAGATTTGGACAAGGGTAGCAGAAAACCAAAAGAAGAATGCAGGGGGAGGAATGCCTCCCCGTGACACGTGGAAGCTGAGAAGCTGCAGCAGCTGTAACAGAGAAAAGTCAAACCAAGCAGTCTTTTTCTGGGTAAGGACTTTCGGTGAAAACTATTTGGGGTAAAAAGACTAAGCAAGACCCAGAAACCCTGCAACCTGGAGAGGAAAGAGTGACCATCTTACTCTCTGGGAGGAACCTTCATGAACCAGGGAGAAAGAATTCAAAAGCTGACTCCCTGGACTTTCGTGATGAAGACCTGGTAAAGCAAGTGTTCCCTTGTAGCTCAAGAGGAGACCTCAGCAGAAGCTGAGGGATTGGTGGGGGTTCAAAGGCCCCTTCCCTGATACCCCAATGAGAGAGAGACTTTAACTATCGCCCTGAAAACTTCTCCTGAACTGATGTGGGAGAGTCGAGGGCTGGTAAAAATTGTATTAATACTCTGCATTTATTTGCTTTTTAGTTTCTATAGTATTTATTGTGTTAGTAATAAATTTTGATATAATTCCCTTGTACTGAGTTGTGCCTGTCTGAAAACTTCTCTTCCATGTTGTGGCAAATTGTGGGGGAGCTTGGAGATTGGATTTTTGGGGTCAAACCCCCACAACTATGTTTAGATCCAAATCCACTTCCTGAAACATTTCTTTTCCTAGGCATTTCTTGGCCTAGCCATTACACCACTATTCTAAAACTCTGTTCCTGCCAATGCTCCTAGATAGGCAATGCACAGGGAGCTCAGCACAAGGAAACGTGTCTGCACTAAGGGTCACAGTGCAAAGAAAGCAAAACTCTCAGAAATAGGCAACGAGCAGCCAGGGAGCTCATGTGTACTATTTAGCTGCCTCCAACTTGGAAAGGGTTTGCACTCTGAAAAGTGACGCAGAACCTCTGTAAGGACATCATGGAGCCTTTGGTGGGAGAGCTCAATCTTTAGGCTCAGGAAGGATGGTTCCAGACTTCTCAAAAGAACAGCTCTGATTTTAGTACCTCACTCCAGTGATGCAGCACTGAATCTACACCCTAGCAACTCAGTCATGTAGTAAAACTACAATTTGAACAGCATGTAGCAATTTTTGTTTAATTGAGGTCCCTAAAGGTTCTTAGTGGAATGCTTACATACCATCAACAACATGAAACGACAATGAGAAGTACACTTAAAAACACTTAAACGCTTTAAAAATTAATTGCTTCATTATTTTTTATACAGAAGGTATAAATGTTGAAAAGCATTTCTCATTTATACTATCAGGGCAGAAAAACAATTTTAAAAAGTCTGCTTCTTTATCAAAGTCAGCTAAGTCACTTGTAAACTTTTAAGACCGCAAAACAATTGAAAAGAGAAGCCTCTTTTTAGTTAGTTGAGCCTCTTTTTAGTTGAGGAATTGCAGTTTCTGACAACTAAAAACGAATTTTAATAATTTCCTTCTCATCAAGTTATTATGTTTTTATTTAGTAATAAACTAATTAATTATTAAATTATCTTTTCAAGCTATTATCAATAAAAAAATTTCTTCCCAGTAATTTTCTACCATATTTTATTTTTATGCTATTAATATCAATAATCCAGTTTTAGTCCCTTAACAATGCAGGTTCTGACTCAGAGCTTTGGAACTCATTGCCTTAATTTATGACAAACTAAGTTGCTTCATATAAGCTTGTGCTGTTTGTATATTCAGCTACAAAGCTAACAAACTCTACTCTTTATGAGCAGTTATCAAAACCAGTGGATAATTCAGTTTGAACAGTGCAGAACATCAAGCTCCATCTGAAGCAACCATGTCAACAAACCCCCCAAAACACCATCTCACTTATCAGCACAAATTCTGGACCTATTTAAGCAAACATCAGCCATCTCTGACCTCAATTACTACATCTGTGCTGGCAAATTTAATTTGAGGGGTGCTTCTAGGCATTGGCACTCGTTCTGTGTTACAAAACTGTGAGACTGGTCCTAGCAGGATTTTGGCTTGGGCGTGGTTTGGGGGGCAGCAAAACCAAGGAATTTGAGTTAGGCTCTGCACATATGGGCACACCATGAAGAGTAGGAAACTGAAATTTGTGGTACCACAAATACGTCTGTGATAAGACCTTAAAAGATGCTGCTGTCCAGACAGGCAGGTGCTCAGTGTTCCAGGTACATAACTGA